CACGGGAAAGAGATTGAAGAAAAGATGAAGATTAGGTGGGTCCTACGTAAATAAAAAAATATTTTTACAACAGAAGAAGAGACTAGCTTATTGGCCCTGTTCAGCTTGCTGAAACTTGGTTAAATTGGCTGAAAAATACTGTTCTGGCTGAATTGTTGTGAGAGAAAAATATTGTTTCGGCTGAAAAAAAAACAAGCTGAATAGTGCGGATTATAAAGTAAGCTGAACGGGATCATTGTGTACTTTGTCTATTAGACTTCGGCCCTTAGCCCTTATGGTCTAAACAGGAGCGCTAAAAGTAGAAGCTAAACTTTAGCTCCTACTTTCGTGCCCTTACCCTCTGCTGCTGCAGGTCTGCCTGCGACTCTACTGCCGTGCGACTCCTTGCAACTCTGCGTGCGACTCTGCTGCTGTCGGAGGTGAGGTATGTGAGCACTAGTTGATGAACCCGTCACGCTGCCTTAAGCAATTGGAATTGCATCTGGGTAGACCAATTCGTGGCTCGGATAGCGCGAGAATTAGGAACACGCTGCAGAGTCACACGAGATCACCCAGCAGCGTGACGCCGATGGTCGAGTCCGTGCTCGCCGTGCTCGTCGTGCTCCGCCTGCCGTGCTCGCCGTGCTTGACTTGCTCGCCCTGCAGATTGTTGTGCTCGCCCTGCTTGTGCTGCTCGCCTTGCTGCTGTCATAGTGCCGTGCTCGCTGGGGTGGCTGTGCTGCTCGCCTTGCTGCTGTCATAGTGCCGTGCTCGCTGGGGTGGCCACCACTTGTTCGACGAAATGGCTCAAAGAGGGTAACCTTACCATTTTGGAGAAGAAGTAATTGTATCAAAACAAACCAAATAACCAAACACACTCTGAGGCTAGCCAGGCTTAGACAGTACAGGCAACAAAAAAAACTCGATCCGTGGAGGACGACGTCTCACTGGATATTTCATTAAGAAGATCTTCTCATACAGATCGAGAACATCTTCGAACCCCGGCCCCACCCATATACAGCGGCACCGCATCCCCGTGAGACGGGACGGCCACAAACCTATACTTTGGCGTGGGACAGACGAGGTATTTTTTTTACCCTCAAGCCTGAAATTCACCCCTGAGGGATTGGCTTGGTGTGAGCAGGGATTGGCCAACAGTACAGACAACCAAACAACTAGAGATTGACTTGGTGGAACAGAAGCTAGCCAGGCTAGGAATAAGCCATGAAACCAAACACACCCTATTACCCCCACCCATCCCCTTTTAGTCTTGTGCATGAGTATTAATTAGGGACAAATAAATTATGATAGGGTACATGGTAGGGTATATGGCTAATTTTTAGCCTTGGGTTAAAGTTGAGACCAATGGATCGAAACAGGGCCTTCATCGTTGCTTATGTGGTTTGGCTTAAAGCTAAGCTTATTGGGCTTGCTCGAAGCACACCGAGGCTAGAAGCCCTGCAAACTGTGACCGCCGTGCTTGTTCGAAGTTCGAGAAATGGTCTTAAAGCCAACTGCAAATGACGTCTATATTTTTTTGCCCTATAAATTCAAACTCAGCATCACGAGATAGCTGCGGTAGACGGGAGCTAATACAACTAGCCGTTGGTGGAGCGGATGACCTGTACTGGCTTACTGGGTGAGGTGTGAGTAGGTGACAGCCAATTATATATATTCCCGTTGTTTCTTTGGTACGTAAGTGATAACACCAACGTTCTCCCATTGCTAATCCTGTCCATAGTATGCTTTTAGTTTGAGCTGCCATACTACGAACAACCTTGGTTCTTTCCTGCCCCTGGCAAACCGAAATCAAGCAAATCGCATGGACCAACATTTCTCCGGCCTAATCAAGCTGGGCTTCGGCGTCTTGGCGTGCAACTCGGGGCTCGCCATCTACAACTCCTGGGGCGACGCGACCTCCATCTCCTTCGTGCTGCTCGCGGACGCCGCGCTCGTGCTCCTCTTCCTCTGCCTCCGTGAGTTTGAGCGGGGCGGCAGGGGCAGGGAGGACGCCAAGATGAAAGCCGCGGTGTGGGCACTCACGACACTGCTCACGGCCATGTTCGCGTCCAGGGTGACGCCGGCCGTGGGAGCAGTGGTCTGGGTCATGGCGGTGGCCACGACTGCCGGTGGGTTCTGGGCGTTCTTCCTGAATCATCCGTGATGGTTTTGCGATCTTGTCCACGAGGTTTGCCCATCCTGTTTGCGGTTTCTGTTCTGTTCTTTGCTTCGACAGCACAAGCTTCGCTTTGTTGTACACATGACTCATCTCAATGATTTGTTCAGGGCAGCATATTGGAATTTTATCATTGCCTACGTTCCCGGAATCGAATTGTATAACAGACCTAGTTCAACCTTATCCCTAACCCAACTTAAAATCAATCAAAACATGAAAACTTAGCCGCGAAAGAAATGGAATGTTTCGCATATGTTAGAGGATGCAGTGGCACATCTTGTATATTGTATCAAGAATAAACTAATTAGTTTATTGTAAACTAATGACGCTGTCCGAATAGTAGCAAATATTTAAAAATGGTTAGCTTCAGCGACTTCTGGGGAAAGGTACGGTAGTCAGTCGTTGTGGAGAAACTAAAATAAAAACCGAGTCAGCCATGACTAAGCTCGCTCCCAAGTTGCGGGCCGAAATGAGAGTGAAAATACACTCTGGTACAGGTAGGATCATTTCCGGAGCGTCAGGAGGTTGGAATGGACTGGTTGTGTGGTTTCTTCTCTTCGGACAGCGACATGCCTGAGCGCGAGAGGACTACCATCGGCATGGGTCATGACTCATGAGCGTTATCGCTACGTTTGTTTAATTAATTATGGGAATTGCTATCTGTCACTCGTGTGTTTCTTTCGTCGGCAGCACACACGTATCTGCTCCGTGCGATAAAGGATCGAGGGCTGAAAGCGGTAGGGTCTGTTCCCACCGAGGTGCCCCTTCGTTCTTTGGCTGACGTGTGAGGTCCACTCGAAACTGTCCAAGTTTTTGGGAACACGCGCCCGGAGGGGAGAAGACATCTCTCTCCCTCATTTTTTTTTTCGGATGCTTCTCCTCATCATTTCGCTCCCCGCCGTCGGCGACGGTCTTCCACCCGGCACGCGCGAGGTGATTCGGCGGCGGCAGCGGCTTGAGATCCTCTCCCCGTCGTCGGTGACCGTCTCTCTCCTGGCGCGCGCCCGAGGGATTCATCGGCGGCTGTGGGTTGAGTTCCGGGGAACTCGTTCTTCTTCGTCTCCGACTCGTGTCCTAGGTTTGTAGTGCATCTCGTCTGTGTGTTGTGTTTCGAGGGATTTTGCATCGTATTTGTGGTTTTTTGGGTTGCGCTAGTTCGCCACCACGAGCAGGCAGTGGGTGGGGCGGAGAGATGGAGGTTGTCGGAGGTTTTCGCCTGCGATTTTCTCGTCGTCGCGGCAATTTGTTGGCTCGTCGTGCATCGCTCTGATTTCTGGAGGTTCGTTTGTTTCATGGATCTGGAGATTCGGGTAGGGATTTGGGGATTTGGAGGACGGGATCCATCCTCGCGCCGACCCTGCCGCCTTCGTCGCCGCTGCAGCTGCAGCTGCACCACGAGCTCCGGTCGCTGCTGGCCACCGGGAGGAGCCCCGGTGCCTCCGCGCCGCCTCGCTCCTGGCCAGGCTCGCCATCGGGAGGGACAACCAGGACAACATCAGCATCATCGTCGTTGACCTGAAGCACAGGGAGTGAGTGAGTGGTCGGCCGTAGGCTGCTCTGTTCGTTGCCATGCCGTCCTGCAGTCCCAGTCGTCGGCTTATCGATCTACTAGGAGTGAACTGATATTGTGATGAGGAGGTGATCGTCGATCTAGACCTGACATTTCCTTGGTTCTTTCGATTCTAAGACAAGAAGATTCTAGTTGTTTTTCTTCTTCTTCTTTTGGTTAAAATGGATGGAAGATTGCCGTCCTTATTAAGTTAAATTAAAGGGGCAAAAAAAAGTGAAAAAAGAAGCAAGGAAAAGAGAGTAATTGTACAGAGTAAGTATGATATGATGCAACATTTATGTGCATTATCCTTAATAGTAACTTGTTTCCATTTTTCTCAAGGAGGCGAGGCTAAGCTAGCTGCTGCAGTCTCGATCTAGGTAGTTCTGCAGTCCGCAGCCTGATTTTTTCGGAATCGAATGCAGTGCATGTCTGGCTTCATTGATTTGGCTGCTGTCTCTGCATGGAAATACGTTATGAACTCTATTGTCTGCTGGGGCTGTGTGATGCATTTTTGTTGCAGGAACTTTGAGAGAGCAGTAGCACTGCCTGTAGGCAGAGTGCTCACTCGATCTTCGGCTCTCAATGCAGCAGGAAATGAAGATCATTGCAATCGTTCAGAAATACATTGAACGGTCTTCAGGTCTCAATGCAGAGGAAGTACATTGCAAATCATTCAGAAGTCTCTTCTGTTTACCTATGGCATCTAAAAGGTTCTATACTGTGCTTAACTTTTACGTGGTCATTGTCTATTGTCTGCTGGGTATTTGGGTAGGGATTTGGGGATTTCTGTGAATTTCCCATATAAATAACTTGATCATCCTTAATAACTATTGTTCAAGGTTCACTGCTGTATCAATTCTATTTAAACACCACAGTCGAATCTGCAATGGTTTAGGAGATATAGAAGTTCAAAGTTTGGTAAATTTGGTACATAACTAGGATGCCGGTTAATTATATAGTTTTGTTTCCTGAAAGACTTCTCGCTCTGATATCAACGGATTGAAACTATTCTGTGATAGTTATAAGTTACTTCCAAATTTAGCATTGATGGCACAATCTTATAACTGGAAGTAACCTATTTTGTACTTTGATGGCCAACACACGCCTCTTATTTGTCCTTGTCCTTTCACACAAAAAAATTGTTTCTTGGTCGATGTGTTGCCACTCAAGTTTGATTCATAGAAATGGATTCATAGAATATGTTCCTGATTTCATCTGGTTTGTTGTGCTGGCCTGCAGAGGAATAGGAGAGGCCACCTAGCGCGTAGTTAGACGAGCAAATTGGAGCAGAAGATGGCATTAGTCAAGCTGAGGGTCGCCTTGCTTGATAGTACTAGCTCCAGCAGCGACTGTGACATGGATAGTGCTTGCGTGCCCACGGTGAGACCCTGTGTGAAATGATTAACACTGGTTTTGGATTAGCACTGTCCCTAATTGCATACATATATAATAGAAATTGCATTCTCAAAAAGTAATAGTTACACTAATTGAAACGTGCAATTTTCTTTTGTACTGTCTGAAATTATTGACATGGTATAAAAAGTAGAACAATTGATTATGCAACTGGCAGAAGGACTTTCAGTCCCCACACACATATCTGTTGTCGCAACTGATTGTAGGCCTTAGTTTTTGTGTCGCAACTGATTTGTAGCTTGTCATTGTCCCTACTAATTTTCCATACTTAGAGAATCCTTGTTTGCAGCTAGAGCTAGTTTGTTATTGTGTATATTTGTCAAGTCTGCTGGCACCGGATTTTCTAATTATAACTCAAGTCTTACCTTCTACTTATGTAGATTATGTGAGGTTGCATAACTATTGGACCAGATTTTGTCCAGAAACCTCCTGTATGCAGGTTATCAGTTTGACCAAACCCACATATTTGTGATTTGTAATGTTCAGAGCTAGACAAACTTCATTAAGATGCACCTAAGATGATTATAATTAGTAAATTTGTCATGCTATGTGCTTATCTGTGTCAAGCTGCCAAAGCACCTGTTATAAGGAGCAGTTGGGGTGTTGCACCCATTCCTTCGGATCTGTTCAATTTAAAGTCAGAAGGGAAAAAGTCCTTTGTTTATTGTCATTTGTGCCAGCCCATACCAATTTTTTTTGTCATTGTCCTTTCGTAGAAAAAAAATGTTAATTGTGATTTGTGCTAACGCACCTTTCTGTGATTGTGCTTCCATAGGAAATTTTTTTTATCTGTCCTTCCATAGAAAAAATTGTTTTTTGTGATTTGTAATTGTGCTTGAATAGATTAAAATTGACCAATTTTTTTGTCCTTGTCCTTTCGTAGAAAAAAATTGTCAATTGTGATTTATGCTAACACACCTTTCTGTGATTGTGCTTCCATAGGAAAATTTTTTTATCTATCCTTCCATAGAAAAAAATATTTTTTATGATTTGTGATTGTGCTTGAATAGATTAAAATTGTGTCTTGTCCTTCTATAGAATAAAATTGTTTCTTGTGATCTGTTTTTCTGTCCTATCAGTGAATGGAGCAGGTTTGATATGTGAGTTTAGTGTGCTTATTAAGGGTCTATTTGGTGGTTGTCATATTGGTGTTCAGGTAGTCATGAATTCCCCATTAATTGATGTGTGTGGCTATGTTCTAATTGTTTATCCATTTTCATATGTGTGTGGTTATGAATTTTCAGTTGCAATTTGTTCTCATCCAAGAATTCTTACGTATGCTTCATCGTTAACTATACTTGTGCACTGACGAGTTCCAGTTTCCGCTGTTGAAATTAGATTGTATATACTTGTTATGGGGTTATTGAGTCCTTGATGAAAGTGCACATCTCCCTGATTGCCTCATGCAGTTTGATTTTTGTTAGTTCAGCACCCCAACATGTTAATGCTGGTGTTGAACGTTTGTTTTCTGTTTTTATGTTTGTTTGTCAATTTTTGCAATGTAATTGTGTAATGGTGAACTGGTTCTGTAACTTTTTAGTGCATTTGTGCTAAAGCATACTGACATTTCTTCTGGTTCCTGTTTGAATAAGTTGAGTTCTTTGATTTTGTGGTCCTTCTCGATCAGTGAATCAAGTCTTGAATCTTGCCTAGAAGCAGTTACAATCCTAACTTGTTTGTGGTTGAATATGGGGGGATGCTGGTATGCATGTGATAGAAATCTGGCATTAGATACATTGTTTTTTTAGATCCCTGGATTTGATAATTTTTGTTTGTTCATTCTATTTTTGTCCGCTTTCTGTTATTTTTATGGTAGGCAAACTGTTATTAGAACAAGTGGTTCTATTTTAATTTGTACAATTTGAGTTCTGTATTGTTTGTTAGACAACCATCTCATTACATGGGCTCACTGAACGATTTTATTCAGTGTAAACATCAGTTTTTTTTTTAATCTGCCCATTTATTTTGGATGTGTATTGTTTATTGAACCAGTCTAATCACAGAAATGAAACTCTCTTTGACGCATTTATTATGTAAATTGAGAGGAGAGATGGATGAAGCTTTCTTAATGTTTCTTTACATGTGGAACCTGTATTTGTGGGAATCATTGCTCTTGCAATAGTATGCCAATCCATAAAATAAGGACATCTAACTGGCCTCAGATAATTAAATTTACGTCTATCCTTCTTTGTTTCAGGGGTTACAAACGATTGTTTCGGCGAACTGCCCTTGAAGCATCAGACTTTCTCAAAGACGATTGTCTGAAGATAAATTGCACTGTGGGAGTTGTTGTGTCAACTATTGATTACTCCAGACCACACTCTATCCATGTTCCAGACTCAGACATCGGCTATGATTTTGGTTCACTGTTGGACAGTCAGGAGGGTGTTGATGTCATTCTTAATGTGGGAGGAGAGAGGTTTCATGCCCATAAGTTGGTGTTGGCTGCACGGTCTCCTGTATTCAATTCTCTATTTTTTGACGATGAATCTGATGGAGAGAAGAGTGAGGTTACTGAGACTGATGAACTAAAGAGTTCTCTATTGATGATATGGAGCCAAAGGTTTTCAAGGTCTGTTGCTGTTCTTGTATTGTGTTTGTGTTTATCCTTCTAGTAAAACAGTGACTAGCAAGTATTTGGTGAATATTTCTTGCAGGCAATGCTTCATTTCATCTATAGAGATACCCTTGTTGATGATAATGAATTGGGTGCGTCAAGCTCTGATGGTTCTGTCTTCGATACTCTGGCAGCTAAGCTGTTGGCTACAGCCGACAAGTATCAGTTAGTGTCGATGTTTTACCATCGATAGCCTGCCACGGGGGTACCCGGGACAGTTGTTCGGGCTTCGGCGAATAGTGGAACTTAGCGGTTACGCAAAGAGACTCACGATTTATACTGGTTCAGGCCCTCGACTTGGTCGAGTAATAACCTTACGTCCAGTTCGGCGTTAGCCTGTTTGCGTCGTGTTTTTTTGAGTATTGGGTATGTTCAGTTGTTTACAAGGGGTATCCTCACCAGCCCTTTATAGTCCAGGTGCTGGGAGGAGTTGTTTCTTTTCTACTCGGATACAAGGTCAGAGTCCTAAGCTATGCTTCGGGCGCCTTTCCTTGTATAGTCCGAGTTGGAGTTTTTGGTCTTGCACGTTGCTTTGCTCCGTGTTCTTCTTGGCGGTCGGGCTATGGGCCTTGTTACCAAGGCCCACTTCCCTACAGTACGGTCTATGGGGGGCCCGTAGGGTTCCCCATCGACAGTTAGCAAGGATAAGATTGCTATGTGAGTCTTACCTGTGCAAGGGCATATCAGTGGCCTCAGCTGCGAGTACGCTGGCATTGGCTGATAGGCACCGAGCCATGGAGCTTAAAGCTGTTTGCCTAAATTTTCTACAGAAAATCTTTCAGGTACTGAAATTTTGATACCTGATATTGCTTATGATTATATCATCCAAGCGGCCCCATTATTTGCTCCGAGAACTCTTGTTAGTTGAAAATAATTCAAAGTGGACTGCCATCAAAAGGAAAAAAACACAATGAAAAATAGTAGGTAATTTCATAAGCTTTTTAAGTTGTCAAAGAACAATATTTTTGGTTGGCTGGAACTCTAGTTATGATTTTTTTAGGTAACTATGTTCTGTTGTCCAGAATTTTCAGAAAAGTATGTTAGCACGTTATGGCTGTAGAACTGTTTTCCAACTTAGAGCTGTGTATGTTTTTTAGCTTAATAAACAAACTTTTTGTTGTCTTTCGTTCAGCTTAAAGCTGGGAATGGAGAAGACATTTTTACGCACAATGGCAGATGGAACTTCAACAATAAGGTCAGCATGTATAGTGTATTCTTGTTTTTGTGTATTTTGTATTTTCATGATGTCACATGTAATATTTGGAATCCTGTTCTTCAGAGGCTCATTACAGCTAGCAGTGTCGAGAAATGGGCAGTGGTCAACTTTTCTGCACGATGCAATGTCAGGGATCTTGTCCAAGATCTCATCCATTGTGGAGGCACGATGCATTCTTGCCCATGACCAAAGCTCGAGAGGCCATTTAGTAATCCATGTAAGGTCGGCGCATTCCGTACTAATTTTCTAGTAGTACACAGGGAATCCTCACGACTTATTAATTTGTACTAATTAAACTATGGTCTTTTCATTAGTGATGTGATCATTCTTAGGGCCTGCATTGTTAAGTTGGTTGGATTAGTGGTGTAGATGTCGTCCAAGCTATTTAGTTACGTAGTGATTATTGAGGTGGATTATGTATTTATATACATATACAGTGTAATTGCAATAACGATATGTAGTATTTGCACTATTTAAAATGTGCAATTTTTATATTCTTGTTTTGTAATATTTGAAGATGATATTCATTGTGCGTTTTTCCACCGAGTACATCTCCCTATGTGTGAGTAAATAATTTTTAGCGTAGTTTCATCTGCATTATAGTTAATTTGCATATAAGATTGTGTAAATTCTAGCAGCATATGAAATAGTTGGGTGCTTTGAATAGTTTTGATGGACCCGTTACGACTGGGTGTGTTTAGAAACGACTGTGACACTGTTGGATGCAAATCTAAAGGCTGAGAGATGTCGCCTGAAATGAAAGAACAACTTCTACAGAATACAACTTCTACAGAGAACAAGTACAACTACAATTAGACTCGTGTGCTACTTTGAAAAACACACGGTTTTCCCCCTGCATGTTTTGTGTGCTACTCAGAGAAAAAACACATGATTTTCCTTTTGTCTAGTGAGACTCCTGTGTTGGCTAGGCTGCCCAGATTCGTGTGCTACCTGGTTATAAAACACAAATTTTTGTGGGGATGGAATCCATGTATTTTGTTGGCACAAAACACACGTGTGTTGATTGACTTCGAAACACACGAGTGTTGAATAGACTAGTCCTTAATTATTACCCCCGCTGTGTCCCAGGGGCATTCATTCATGCATGCACGTCTTGTGGATGCCAACTTATCTCAGATGTTGATCGTTCGAAAGACCAGACCGAGGAGGAAAGGGCAACCGAAAGCGGGACTTGTGGGTTCTTGAAGTCTTGAGAGATATCGGAGGGGGCAGGGCGTTCAAATCCATCCATGTTGCCAGCAATTGTTCCACACAGACACAGATTGACTTGCGATGCAAACTGTCACCCGCTTGTTCAAAATTCACAGCATGAGTACTTTTCTTTTCTTTTATTATTCGAGGACGCGACATTGGAGTAACTCTCAACGCGCGGCGTTGCCGCGCGGTCTCGTCAGATGCCGGCGTCAGGCCTTCCATAGTGTGTCGCCTAAGTGCTGCCTCATGGAGCTAGTTGTGTAGAACAGTACAAGACCAATCCATGGATTTGAGTCAATGATCAACGTCGACTATGCTATGGCGAGTGTAGTCCTGGCGGCGATGGGCGGAGGCAGCGCGTAGACGAGATGGTCAATGCTTCGCCTCTGTAAGATAACTGTTCAGCTCGAAACTGAACAAAGGCATCCTTGGATTATTACCGTTGGTTTAACATGTACTAAAAATTCTACTTCCTCTTAATGAAATACATGTCGCAAGAACACAGTGAAGGACTGCCTCTCGGCGACTACGATCTTGCCATCCCGTACTTGCTGAAGGGAGGTCAAGGCTGCTGACGACCGCCTCTGCTCTATAGCTCGTGCTCCCCTTGCCAATTGCCCAATGCTACCTTCAGCAAGGGTCACAGTGAGCACTGCCCGCGTCTTTCCTCCTCCATGCTCTTGAGAGCATTGTCAACATGGCGATCGGAGCCTAGCAATGCGTTGATATCAAGTTATTCAAGGAGCTTCATAATACTAGAAGTCGTCGGCCTCTTTGCAGCATCTATGCAAGTGGTCATGGGCGCAGCCCCGCCCGCCTCTCCTCGCCTGCAAAATCGAACATTCAGATAAACATACACAATAGAAGTAAAAATATATGATAAAATATACATGCTCATGGGCTGAAATAGGAACTCCAATATTATCAGGGAGTCCTTTGGATAAGTATAAATCAGAATAGGGAGTCATAGTAGCTGATAATAATTTGACGAAAACTTTGGAACTAATGACAGTAGATATACTAAAATTAACTACTAATGTAATTAGGGGAAGCACACGGTGTATATCTAATCTGTCCATACATGGCAGTTAACTTAATTTGGGGGGTTCTTTGTCATGTCAGGAACAATCCTTTGATCATGCAGTAGGTAAGCTGGAGAAGCTATTAGCAAGTTCAGAGATGTTGGGATGGTGAGCTACAACGACAAACAAGAAATGGGGGCAGATTTTTGTCTTCGATTAATTCTAAGTACGAATTCCTTCTCAGGTGCAGATGCTTAGGACACAAATATTATGAACTGTAATGCCACACAATTTAGATGTGGGCACCAAGAAGAGCATCGACCGAAATCTTTCCTAGCCTATCTGTGGTTAACAGGAAACAGGTGGACATGTACAGTAAGATCAGGCCATACCACAGTACCACACCAAGCCGTCAAGCACTAAGGAATAGGTGACTTATTGGGGATCAGCATCATGGTGCAAAGTAATCAGAGGCAAAGTAGAGGAAACCAGGGGAACCTTCAGGCGTCGTTGCCACCCGCTGCTCGAGAAGACCCCGGAGTGCGCCGAGAGCCACGGCTGCGCAAAATCTCACGACCTTGTCACTGAGCTCAGCGAGCAGTGCACAGATGCACGCGGCGGCGGCGATGACATCACTGTTACTCTGTAACGATAGAGATGTGTATGTACAAATCATCTAGAAAAATTGAGAGGAAGTGATACAGGAAAAAAAAAGATACTTTGTTTCCATTTCATCAAACACATTGGCTTCACTATGTATGGAAGCGGCGATGCCGGCATTGAGTCCATTGGTCGCTGACAACGGCGAGCACACGGGAACAGGAGGCAGCCGGCGCTGTCCAGCTGTTGTCTTCACCATCGTCGGGCCCGGATCGCTGCAGACTGGTGCTGGCTCGCCGCGGCCTCCGGCCTGGCGCATGCGGGCTGCGCCGCCGCCGGTCAGGCTCGCGCGGGATCCTGCCCCTGCCGTGCGCCCGACGGCGATGGCAGCTCCCGCACGCGCTTGGCATGTGCTGCGAAGAAGAGCTTGAGGAGGAGGAGGTGGCGGCAGTAGCAAGCGCCGACCAACGCGGGGGCATGGCGTTGGAGCCGCCGGAGCCAGATGCTCATGGCCTCGGCGATGTGGTCATACAGCGTCACGGTGCGTGTGGAGGCGGGACGAAGACTCTAGAATGCACCTCATGTGCCAATGTATGAACCGTCCGATCAAGATCCACCGCCCTAGAATATCCTAATGACGTGGCCCAATAAAATTGCAGAGCTTGGCTCTGATTGAGTGAGACAGAGATAGTACAAATACAAATGCTTGTAATAAATTCTTTGGCCCAAAAACTCAAACTCAGTAGCGCCGACATTGGGAGGGAGGTCATCAGGGGAAGTAAAGAAATTGTGAAAGCAAGATTCGAATTATTACTGGACTTCTCCTTACATATCGAGTAAGTTCATTGCAGGTTTGTCGCTTTGTCTCAGGACAATCATCCCGGGGGGAAGCACGCGTTTTGCCGACGCCGTGATCAAAACGAGGCTTGTCGGCCATTCATATAGTATTTTCCATTTTTTATTATTAAATAAAACTAAAAAAGGCACAAGTCTATCGGTACCCGCTACCTTTTTTTTTTAGGGTGGGCACTGATGATTGGCTCCGCTGCAGTACCGCGCCCTATATATAAGGGCAGTCCCAATGGTGCATTGATGATGGTTTCTATCCTCATTAAATGACTTGCCATGTAGGTAAAATGTTGACATGGCAACGTAATTAATGAAGAAAGAGAGCAAAAATCATAGAAATGGTTTCCTCATGGCAGTCCCAATGGTATATTGATGATGGTTTCTATCCTCATTAAATGACTTGCCACGTAGGCAAAACGCTGACATGGCAACGTAATTAATGAAGAAAGAGAGCAAAAATCATAGAAATAGTTTCTTCATGAAGAAATCAGGTCTACTCTTGACCCAATGCACCAAGAAACCATGAAATCGCCATTGGGGAGAAACCACCAGTTTCTAGGGAGCTCGTGTCGCACTCCCATTGAAGGAAGAAGATAGAGTTGGGAGAGAGAGAGAAAATAATTATTACTCATAGAAACCATGAGTTGGAAAGCAATACTTTTTTTGTGCGGTATCCTATGTTATAGAAACTACTGGTTTCTTTCATTGGGACTGCCCTCATGAAGAAATCAGGTCTACTCTTGACCCAATGCACCAAGAAACCATGAAATCGTCATTGGGGAGAAACCACCAGTTTCTAGGGAGCTCGTGTCGCACTCTCATTGGAGGAAAAAGATAGAGTTGGGAGAGAGAAAGAGAAAATAATTATTACTCATAGAAATCATAGGTTGAAAAACAGTAATTTTTTGGTACAGTGTCCTATGTTATAGAAACTATAGTTTCTTTGTTGGGACTGCCCTAACGTTATCTGGAAACCGAAAGGGTCCTTGGCAGCTTTCCTCGATCAACCCGAAAGGGTCCTTGGCAGCTTTCCTCGATCAACCATCCTAGCGTAGACTCTGTTTGTATTTGAGCTTTGTAGCCTCCAAACTCTCCACACATACAGTCATACAGACAGGGGGGGAAAAATAGCTCACACCGCGCGAGTTGGCATGGACAGGCAACGGTCGTGTCTAACCAGCCTGGGCTTCGGCGTCCTGGCATTCACCTCGGTGCTCGCCTTCTACAGCTCCTGGGGCGACGCGAGCTCCGTGCTGCTCGCGGACGCCGCTCTCCTGCTCCTCTTCCTCTGCCTCCGTGAGTACGAGCAGGGCGGCGGCAGGGGCAGGGATGCCAGGATCAAGACCGCGGTGTGGTGCTTGACGACATTGTTGACGGCCATGTTCGCGTCCAGGGTTGCGCCGCTGATGCCGCCGCTCGTGGGCGCCCTTGTCTGGACGATGGCCGTCGCCACGGCCGCCGGCGGCGTCTGGGCGTTCTTCCTGAATCCATGAGGCGTTGCAGACAGAGTATGTGTGTGTGTTTCCTGGTTGGAGCAGCTTGTGCTGGCACTCTATTCATTATTTTTCTATATGTACAATATGTATTTATTGGATGATATAAAACTCTGTTTGATTTCTACTCCCTCCGGTCCTCGATATCTGGCGCACGCCCGTTTTTTTTTTATTTGGCCAGATTATCTAGCGGCCTGAGGATACCGAGGGCTAATTAATTACGGAGCCGGTTAAACGAAGCGTTGCATGCGTGCGTCCCAGCCACGCAGCTCGGTTGCCTTTTCCAACTATACTCCCTCCGTCCCAAAATAAGTGACGTTTTCGCTTCCCGAGAAATGACTACCGGCAATTATATATTAAAATATATAAATATTTATGCTAAGTAATTAGTATCATCGAAAAGATATTTTTGTCTAGTTTTTTAACAAATTTATTTGAAGATGTAAATATTACACGTATTTTCTACAAATCGAGTCAAACTTGTGGCACGAAAACCCAAAACGTCTTTTATTTTGGGACGGAGGGAGTACGAGTGATGAGATACGAAGTGTTTTCTCTCTCGCTCCTTCCCAGACGGCGCGGCTGTTAGCCTGTTACTCGGAGTTAATACTCGTCTTGGTCTCTGGAATCAGCCTGCCCACGCCAGATATATGAAGAGATGTAGTATATGTTCAGTACCCTATGTTTTTATTTCGATCATTCTATGGCAGCTCCTTCCACTGTCACGAATTGGATCTAGAAAGTAGCCGTATGTATTCAGATTGTCATTTCGCGGTACCACGCCACATTGTGATTGTCGTATGTATTCAGCAACGAGTAGTTCGATGGTCGTCGTCCGGCCCGTCGGACGCAACTCCTCCACTGGTTCGCACTCGTACTCATCCGCTCGCTCGCTTCTCTCCTCCAACACTCATCCGCTGGCTCGCTCGCTCACTACCACCGCGCCACGCGCCACTCGCTGCCGCCCTGCCCGCCCGCCGGAGCTCCCTCCCTCCCCTATGCGCGACCTCCATGTCAACCCGCGCTTCCCAGCGACCCTGCTCGCGCTCTCCCACCGGAGACAAGGACGACGGCGGCGGCTCCGACGAGGTAGGTCGATTCTTCTCTAGATCCTCCTCCTCTGGATCTGAGGGACACGGCAGTGGCTAGGGTTCTGGCAAGCTCTAGGGTCCTATTCCCTCGTCCTGTGTTGCAATGTGTGTTTTGGATGTTGCAACAAATGATTTTCGAATGTTGCAATATGATTTTTTGGGTCGTTGCAACAGATGTTTTTGTGATGTTGCAGTATTATTGCTTGAGATGTTGCAGTACATAATTTTCGATGTTGCATCACATAATTTTCTATGTTGCAGTATATATTTTTTCGATGTTACAGCACATGTTTTTCGATATTGCAGTACATATTTTTTCGATGTTGCAGTACATATTTTTTCGACGTAGTGATTGGAGAAAGGCGAAGGATTGGGGCAAAAAACCCTCTCCTTTCCCCTATTCAATGCAGATGGGAATGCGACAGGACGCGTCCTGACTGATGGGATGCGCCCTGCCCAACGTGACGGCACCTGGTTAGACGAGACATGGTCTGGGCATGGCCCACCACTACCGCACGCCGGGCGCGAGAAACAAGGCGCAACCGCACGTAAGCGGTCCTCCGCCTTCCCGGGCAAGACTTGGAAGGGCCCAACAACGGGATCTCCGTCCAGGATAGACCAATGGGCTTCCTGAGTCGATCGGATGGCTCAGGCGAACGCCGAGAGACAGGTAAGGAGCAGAGGGATGCCCCATGCGGGCTTGGTCGTCTTCGTCATGAACGGTGGACACGAATCCCGGTCGGACACATCCGACAAGAGCTCCTCAAACCCGTCACTCGAGTCATCAAGGTAACTTTACCAAAACCTTTTATCTCATTTATTTGCATGATCATCCATTCATCATTTCTCATACACGCATTCACACATTCATCCATGCATGCATTCATTCATCCATCCCATGCATCCAAAGCATCGTATATGCAGTTGATGCATCACAACGCTTCGTGCGTCACGAAGCGGTAGTTGCCTCATTCAACATGAGCAACGACCAACCAGGGTTCGAAGGCCGGCCCGTGAAGGGCTCGAGGCCGCCTCGCGTCAAACAGGGCCAGGGTAGAAAACGCAGATGAGCCCCAGTGGCCCTCGCCCGATATGCTCAGAAGCAGACAGGGTCATCTCAACCTTCTCATTTGATCCTAACCTTGTGCCATGCCCACAGAATCTCCATCAAGGGGAGGCCAGCGTGCCACCTGGGTCGATCTTTGGAACGTTCCGGGCATCTGCTGAGACGCGGGTTAAGAAGCAGTGGGATGCCACATGAGGGCTATGCCGACCCCATTTCAAAAGACGGACCCGGATTCCACTCGAACATGTCCGTTAGCGAGATCACCGAGCGCGTCCCTCGAGCCATCGAGGCAAGCAACGTTAGCTCAGCCCCTCCGGTTGTGGAAACCGCGGACGGGGTAACGCACAAAACTCAACCGACCCCTATAGAACCCAACGGGGCTCAGGGGCTCTGGATGCCCAAGCCCTCGGTGCACTCGACGGCTACGCCCGAAGCCTGGATCAGCGACTTCGATTCGCCCGATCCGACACTTGGGTCCGCGAGTCCGTCTCGCCCGATCCCTCGGCTGTCCCTCGGCTGCGCCCGATGCCTAGATCCACGACTCCGATTCATTCGATCCCTCAGCTATCCCTCGGCTGCGCCCAATGCCTGGATCCACGACACCGATTCGTCCGATCCCTCGGCTGTCCCTCGGTTGCGCCTAACGCCTGGATCCGCGACTCCGACTCGGCCAATCCCTCGGCTATCCCTCGGCTACACCCGACGCCTGGATCCGCGACTCCGACTCGCTCGATCCCTCAGCGCGCCCAACGCCTTGGTTGGCGACTCCGACTCGCCCAATCCCTGGATCCACGACTCTGACTCGCCCAATCCCTGGATCCACGACTCCGACTCGCCCGAACCCTCGGCACGCCCGACGCCTTGGTTGGTGACTCTGACTCGCTGAAAGGGTCGAGATGGCGACTAGTGGGGGGTGAATAGTCCTTTTTAATATTAATCCCGTCGGCTAACCGAAATAAGTACGGAATTAAAACTATCGGTCCAGCCAAGACTATACCCCTCTATCTATGTTCTCTAGTACCTTCCAAAGATACTAATTAAGCAACTAAGGTGCAGGGCTAGCTAGAGCTCTCCTAACCAATTCTAGGAGCAAGGTCACACAAACCTATGCCACTAGTATTTTAAGCAACAAGGGAGCTCCTACACATACTAGTAAGCAAAAGCACGAAGCCACGTAAACTCACTAGCAATGCTCAATAACAAGGCAACCAATGCCAAATTAGAGAGCGCAATTACTTAGTTACACAAACTAAGCAATGTGACTAACAAGGTTACACAAACCAAATTAGCCACGTAAGGGAGCAACTTCTATGCTACACAAGCAAGAAGATAACTAGTAAGCTACACAAGCTAACTAATTACGAAAGCAACAACACAAGCTCAATGTATATGAAAGTAATTGCGAGCTTGTGTAACGGGGATGCAAACCAACGGGAAGAACAAGGTTGACATGATGATTTTTCTCCCGAGGTTCACGCGTTTGCCAACACGCTAGTCCCCGTTGTGTCGACCGCTCACTTGGTGGTTCAGCGGCTAATTGGCATCACCCGCCAAGCCCGCACGTCGGGCGCCGCAAGAACCTACCCCAGAAGTGAGGGTAGCTCAATGACACGCTTTACTAAAGTTGCTCTTCGCGGCTCCCGCGGGGCGAGCACAATGCCCCTCGCAAAACACTTCTCCGGAGCACTGCACAAGCTTCTTGCGGGCTTCGACGGAGACCACCACCAAGCCGTCTAGGAGGTGGCAACCTCCAAGAGTAACAAGCACCACCGGCTTGCAACTCGATCCCCTAGTGCCACTCGATGCAACCTCACGATGCAATCATACTAGAATCGCTCACTCACACAATCGGATGATCACTATCAAGCATGTGTGAGATGGAGGGCTCCCAAGCACTACTACACAAGCCACCAAGGCTCTAGTGTGCTCAGCTACCGGCCCAAGGCCAACCATGGCTTCTATTTATAACCCCACGGGCAAATAGAGTCGTTACCCCTTCATTGGGCAAAACTCGGGACGACCGGACGCTCCGGTCAGATCGACCGGACGCTCCGGTCAGATCGACCGGACGCTCCGGTCAGATTGATCAGACGCTGGACCTCAGCGTCTGGTCGTGCGATGCATGCCACATGTCCCCTCCTTCAAACGTCGTTCACTGGATCTCAACGGTCATCTATCGACCGGACGCTCCAGCAAGAACTGACCGGACACTGAGCCTCCAGCGTCCGATCGTTTCCAGTAAGGTTCCAGAAACAACATTTCACGATCGGACGCGTCCGGTCGATCGCGATCGGACGCAGCACCAGCGTCCGGTCACTCTCCAGCTTCTGCTCTGCCTGCGTCACCATACGTCAGCTCTGACCGGACGCAGGACCCCAGCGTCCGGTCACTACGTGACCAGCGTCCGGTCCACTCTGTGAGACCCTATCTTTTCTATCTAGGGTGCCGGTGGTACCGTCGGACTGTCCGCACTCTACGGGCGGACACTCCGCCGGTGGAGTTCCTAACTCTTTTCGCCTCCATTTCATCGCCAAGTTGATCCACATCAACTCCAACTTCATCTCCTTTGTAAATGTTCCAACACCACCAAGTGTACACCATCATGTGTATGTGTGTTAGCATTTTCACAATCATTTTTCAAAGGATTAGCCACTCAACTTATCACGCCACTCAATCCTAGCGACGATGCAAAGTTAGATCACTCAAGTGGCACTAGATGACCGATATGCAAACAAGTTTGCTCCTCTTAATAGTACGGCCATCTATCCTAAACCCGGTCATAAACTTCTCTACACACCTATGATCGGTGAATTGAAATGCCCTAGGTTATACCTTTGCCTTGCGCATTCTATTCCATCTCCTCCAATGTCGATGCAACACATGCATCAACATGATCAATAATGATATGATCCACTTCATATCATCACGTGATCATATTGGTTCATCGATCTTGACTTCACTTGCTCTTCACCGTTGCCATCGTCCATCGGCGCCAAGTCTTGCTCAAGCTTCACCGCTACGCGGTCCATCACTCCAAAGCCTCCGACTTGCCCTTCACGCTTGCAACCGGTCCATCAAGGCAAGTCTTGTCTTGATCTTCTCCACCTTGATCACATGACTCAATGCCATGTCTCATTTGCAATAAGCTCCTTCATCATCACATGTGTGAGCTTTGCAACATCTCCAAGCCATTGTCACCTTCATAGCATATGTTGCTCACACACATGTACCTGTGGACTAATCACCTGTGTATCTCACATAAACACAATTAGTCCACCTAGGTTGTCACTCAATTACCAAAACTAAACAAGGACCTTTCACTCACCCAATCCCTGGATCCGTGACTCTGTCTCGCCCGGTCCCTCGGCCGCACCCAAACGCCTAGGTCCGCGCTCCTAGAAACAATGGATCAGGAACCGAAAAGAGGAGGCTACGTCCACCAAGGTGCACATGCACACGCCCGCTGACAAAAACCCCCAGATGATTCTACCTGAATCGCCCGGGGGCTACACCCACGGGTGCGCTCCCACGCACCCGCTGTCAAAACGAAAAATTCCCCTGCTATCAAGATGAAAAACCGGGCTACACCCGTGGGTGCGCTCGCGCGCACCCGCCGTCAAGACGAAAAATCCCCTAGGCGATTCTACCCGAATCGCCCGGAGGCTCGGGGGCTCCTGTCGGGTTCATAAACCCGAGGTTCCTAATGGACCTACTTCCCAGCAAAAGCTTGGCCCAGCAGACGACGTTGCAAACGACGCGTGACTCCTGGGCCGGCCAAAAAAAACCTAACGACAGGCCAGAAGGGTGATCCAGTCTCTAACCGGAAGGTCTGGCCAAGGAGGGACGACGCTTGCTTCCGACTCTAGCCCACCTCTCCGACCAGAAGGCCTGGCCGAGGAGGTGAGGAACAGCGCTCGCTTCCGACTCCTGCCCGCCTCTTCGACCGGAAGGCCTAGCCAAGGAGGGACGACGCTCACTTCCGACTCCGGCCTGCCTCTCCGACCAGAAGGCCTGGCCGAGGAGGGACGACGCTCGCTTCTAACTCTGGCCCGCCTCTCTGACCGGAAGGCCTGGCCGAGGAGGTGAGGAACAGCGCTTGCTTTCGATTCCGGCTCGCCTCTCCGACCAGAAGGCCTGGCCAAGGAGGGACGACGCTCCCTTTTGACTCCGGCCCGCCTCTCCGACCGGAAGGCCTGGGCGAGGAGGTGGCAACCCTCGCTTCCGACTCTGACTCCGGCCCGCCTCTCCGACCGGAAGGCCTGGGCGAGGAGGTGGCAACCCTCGCTTCCGACTCCGACCGGCGTCTCCGACTGGAAGGCCTGGGCAAGGAGAAGGCAACGCTCGCTTTCGACTCCGACTCCGACGCGCCTCTCCGACCGGAAGGCCTGAAGTACACCGAACCTCTGCTTACAGCTCTTCTCCGACCGACAGGGTCGGAGCCGACAGGGAAACGGCCGAACGGGGACGCCCACTTGGTAAGGACCCAAAGAATCAGGCGAAGCAAGTAAGGTAGGGCGCTGAAGTCAAACCGCAATATCAAGGACCATACCCTACACATCTACAGGACAGTACTGTCAGGTCATGTCAGAAGGATACTTTATAACATTCTAGACATGTCAGAACACGAACAGTGCTGTGGGCGCTGACATTTGCCATACAGTATGGTAGGCGTTGACGTCTGCCATATCAGAAGAACACAATGGAACCAACCACATGCATCCAGCCACCAACAGTATTGTGGGCGCCGACAAACCATCTTATACCCGGCAGCGTGGGCAACAAGGCTAGAAAACACACACTCTCTCTTATAAAATCGTCCCTTTCATCTATAAAAAGGGGATGCGCTCTCTCCAAAAGAACAACGATTCGGACGATTCGGACACACACGATCGATTTAAACAACAACAGACGGATCACACCGATTCACTCTTTGTTAGTTTTAGACATTCTAAAGCCACACAGAACGCACACTCGAATACTCAGCGCACGTATGAGCTCCCGTCAGTCTCAGTCCTTAAGTCCAGGGTCCGACCGGACCTCTTGCACCCCCTTCTTACTCCTACTCGTTTGTAACCCCACTATAAACTTCGAGCACCTGGGTTCAGGAATAGTCACCGACCGACTCAAACTGGACGTAGGGCACATTGTCTGAACCAGTATAAATTCTGTGTCATTGAGTGCTAGACCACATCCGATCATAATGTATGATAAAACTATAAATATTTACTTGTTGGTTACTTTTCATACCGACACTATTAAAAAAGGGGTGTTATGAATCATTTTACTAGTGATCAACCGCTCTCTTAGAATATATATATCAAGAGTTTTCACTCTCGTTTATCTCGCGAGTCTCTTTCTTTGCATCAAAGACACTCCACGCTAAACATCAATGAATGCTCTACACATGGCTGGGCACGTCCGCATCGTACTTGTACACCATGAATCTTGGTGGCTTCATTAGCACCACGCGTCGTGCTTGGTGCGTCGTGGGCGGCGTGGCCGGTGCCGCGTTGGATACGTCGCCCGCAGCGACGGGCCGGGAGTGTCATCCTGGCGCCGAGGCCCGTACAACACAGGACATTGGACATCTTAGCCCACATGATGATAGTGGCCTAACGTGGCCCAATCCCTGCGGGATTGGAGATTGAACGGCTCAGAGGCTCTGTGGTGGCTGTGTCCCAGTTTAGCGCTGTTTATATTTCGTAATCTAGAAGAATTCTCATTTTCTGCTCAAAAAATAAAGAAAAGAAGAAGAAGAAGAATTCTCATTTTGCAAGTAACGTGGAAGGTGTATATCCTGACTTTTGAGGCAGCGGACCTGGCCGATCCCTAACGGCCTAATCCACACATTATTCCAAGCTCCAACCACCCTCAGCTCATCTCCTCGATCACCACATGAAACAGAGAGACACCGCCGATGCCAGTGGCCTGGAGGTCGTCCTGGCCATGAGTCATGACCTCCGCCGTGGCCATGTACAGGGCGCGGCGCAACCGCAGGCGACTTGGGCTCCATCTCGCTTTCGTGACTCTCGGGCTCTCGGCTACGGTGCACTCCACCCTGTGACCCTGATGCTGTTCCGCTTCCTTGGCGAGCACGAGCTGGCGCCGCCGCCGCCCGATGCCACGGTTGAAAGAGAAGGGCTCAGCCGCAGCCACTCCAAGGTCTGGGCCTGCTGCGTGATGCTCATCGTGCTCTTCGCGTGCAAGCGTTTGGGCGACTCCGTGGAGGACCGCCGCCAGCCCGCCACCGCGCTTCGCCGCTTCGTCTGCGGCTTCGTTGCTCTGCTTCTTCAACATCAGCCGCCGTGACCCGTGAGTTATCGCTTGTTTGCAGCGATCCTCAGCTTGACGCTTCAATTCAGATGCGCCGGCCTGTTGTTCGGTAAATTAAAATCAACAAGGCAACAGGGTATTTAGTGGTGGTTACCCTCATTCTCAGCACAGACATGGCCCATTGTTCTCACATTTCTGTGGGATATAAAGATTCATTCACAACAGACCACTCAACAAGAACTGCGCGAGGAAGATTTCAGCTACAGCGGCTGCGCCGCAGCGCTGAAAAGTTCAAGCGGTTCTTCTTCTGAATGATGCATACATGTTGCCACGTCTCTAATCAAACATCTGAAAACTGGCATGCTGCAGTACTGACTTTCTTTTGGATGCTGCAATATCTTGAACGGGTGTTTATATATTGTGATGATTTAGGGGGTGACAAACTGTCAAACTCGATTGACGGAGAGTTTACGCGTCGATGGACGCCGCCCATATAAAAAATCAATAATACCAGCAGCTATTAATTTACTTGTACTATTATAGTGGAATGCCGGTTTGCCACAAGCAAATTCACATAAGAGTCGTTAGGTAAATAAGTAATCGTGGGCGGTAGGCGGCTGGGCCAGGACGGTGGTTTTATTTTAACAGTAGCGTCCGAAATTTAAGCGTCTAGACGCCTGCCGCTGCAGTCGGTTTCTCCTCCGTTTCGTGTGTCCATGCGTGGGCCCACGTCGCCCAAACAAGTCACCCGCGTGGGGACCGCTCGTGCCCTTCCTGCTTTCTATTCGTATTCCATGTGCAGCACCCGATCTACTTTTGAAACACCCGGACGTAATACTTGCAACATATAAAAAAGGACAGATAAAACACTTGAAACATTCATTTGAAACACTTACAAAAATAATTGAAAACCATTGCAAATATACGCAAACATCCAGATAAAACACTTGCAACATATGTGTGAAACATATGCAACAACCAGATAAATGCACTTGCAACATATATACGTCTGAAAAAGCAGATGTAACATTAGAGATATACGCTTGCAACGTACGGGTACAACCGTTGCAACATATGCAACGTCCTGATCTACTTTTGCAACATCCATGTGAAACAACTGAAACGTACCTCTAAAGCATCTGAAACATTTCAAATATACACTTGCAACATGCATCATATCCTGGTGCGGCCTTCTCCGCCGTCAGCGTCGGGGAACCGTGGCTGTAGTAAGAGGCGAGGCCGGAGGGCTTCTGTGCTAAGGCCCAGCGCTTCTCCTTGAGCCGGCGGTGTCGTCGGGCGGGCCGGGCAGCAGAGGAGGAGCAACGACACGAGCAGCAGGGCACGCACGCGGAGCATCGACCGGAATAGCGGTAGGAGGAGCAGGGCAGGCACACACAGCATTATCAACAGGAACAGTGTAGGAGGAGCGGAGCGGGCAGCAGAGTGAATGGAATGTGACGATAAATTAACTGGATATTAATATACAAACGTTGTGTCCCAGTGTCTGTTCGACACTCGAGTAAAGCTCGGACGAATGGATCAAGAATTACCGTTTATTTTACTGCCTGTGTTGTTTTACTGGTGTGTGTGGTCGCCCACTCGGACTTTGAATTTGAAAAGAGAGCGCCGAGTACCACGGCAATTTGGAATTTTAAATACACGAGCTACGACTTTTTAAAATAGTGCCCCGCGGGCCGCGGCCTAGCGGGAAACTGCTATAAAACGAAGGCCGAACTGCTCGGTCGTCTCGTCATCGACACCAACGATAGTAGGCTTAAGTTCAAACGCTGCATTGCCGCTCAGGGAAAAGAAAAACTTTCTAGTTTCTACGATCAGGCACCCGGTCCCTGTCTCCCCTGCGACTGTGAGCATCGCATGGATCGGCGCTATTCTGGGCTAACCACGGTAGGCTTCAGTGTCCTAGCGTGCAACTCGGCGCTCGCCGTCTGCAAATCCTGGGGCGACGCAGGCGCCGTCGCGTTCGTGCTCGTCGCGGACGCGGCCCTCGTCCTCCTCTTCGTCTGCCTCCGTGAGTTCGAGCGTCGCCGCGGCAGGGCAGGGAGCGGCAGGGTCAAGGCCGCGGTGTGGGCGCTCACCGCGCTGCTGACGGCGATGTTCGCGTCCAGGGTGGCTCCGCTCATGCCGCCGCCGGTGGACGCCCTGGTCTGGGGCATGGCCGTGGCCACGGCCGCCGGCGGGCTGTGGGCCTTGTTCTTCAACTAGCTAGTACCTAAGTTGCAGCCGTGCATGATTTGTATTTGCCTGTCGTCGCTTTACAGAATCCTATTCCTTCCTTCGTCACCTCGGTTTCTTCTTCTGGAACTGGATTATTCCACATCATTACGTTCGTAGCTCGACAAATAAAAGTCGAACGTCGTCTTGAATCTTGATAGTCGCTGTAGTTCAATGAGCGTCGGCTTGATGGAGAGAGAGCCGCGTCGGGAGGGGCAAGGTGCCGACTGCCGAGGCAACACTGCAGTGCTCTACGGAACTCAGATTTTTTTTATTCTGAGGCTCGCAAATGATGCGGTGGCGCACCGTTTACAATAATTTCCCACTTTCCTTTTGGTGGAAATTTGGTTATCAAGCAGCATCATAGGTACCGTCTGTACCGGATTGTTGAAATCTAGGACACCGATTTTAGGAACACATCCTACGTTCCAATAGAATATGTGGATACCGAAGTTTTAGAATTCCTGTCGGACGTGGCTAGTGCCCGGACGTCCGGACGGACGCGCGCGTTCCGGATGCCCACGCAGCCTGCTCCCGTCTGCCTTTGCCCCGACCCCGTCCGTCTTCGTCACCCCCCACGCACGCACTTCGCCCCGCCTCTGCCCGCTGGTCGCCCTTGACACCCTCATCTCCCTCCCTGCGGGCAGCACTCAGGAGCCGGGATAAGCAGGTAAGAACGAGCACGCCCCCAACGCGCTCGACCGCAACACCACCATCCGCCCGGCCCCGGTGGCACCGTCTCTCGCGAAGACGCCCCAACCCGCTTCTCACTAAGCCGGTTGTTCGGAATTGTTCGGTTGGTTTATAAGCCGCTTGTACTGATTTGTACGGCTGATCTGTTGGAAGAGAAGAATAGTTCGCAAGGACCGCTGCATGCATAGAAACTTTCCCGTTCCTTCTCACTCGATCGGCCAACAACTGGAGATGCCGTACGGCTAACAGGCCAAAGGTTTCGTCTCAAAGTGGTAAACGTTGCTAACAAGTTGAACGGATCCATCCTGGAGTTTAATCAGTTTCTTTCTTGGGTGTTAAGTTTTCTCGTTCGTTCGTCATTGACTGCATCCAATACCTTCGTCGTGCAAAAAAACTCAAGCGGCTGGACGGAGTAAAGAAAGAGAACGAAACAGATCCAAGCTCACAGCCTTCCACTGGAACTAATCCTCTCTGCTATCCAGGGATAATTTTATATAGTCCTGCAACAACACGACGTCCCTGTGACGCCACAATTCGGGCACATGTGAACCCACGGGGCGCCGCAATCCATTGCGGCCGGCTCGTGCGGCCCGGGCACCACATATTCTATCGTAGTATCGTGGCATCACGGACCGTCTGCCGGCGGGGAGGAACAGCAGTTAATGTGCCGGCAGGGAGCTAGCTAGGACTAGGACCCACCCGGGACGCAAAGTTACAGACGGACGGCATACAGGATACAGGAAGTATTGCAATCCAAACGATACCCCAGCAGACACGTAATTTGATGCATTGCATTGATCAGTGAAGGTGGACGGCATACAGGATACAGGAAGTATTGCAATCCAAACGATACCCCAGCAGACACGTAATTTGATGCATTGCATTGATCAGTGAAGGTAGGTGGACCACATGTGCGAGGCTAAGTACGTATCAGTAAACTATGCCGGTCGGCTTTGCCGGCATGGTCCGCACGGCCTCTAGTAGTCTGTTGGACGGCGTGGTCGGTGCCGCGTCTGGTACGTCCGTACGTGGCACAGGCCCACAGCACTACACACGTGGCTGCGGTGTCATCATCGTTATCCCCGTCGCGGCCCATACCGAGAAAAGAGAGGAACGGGTGCTCCAGTGCAAGCCCAACATCGTTTTCAGCGTGGGTCATCATCCTTTTGAGATGTTGTATAGATACGCGGCCCATGAGCTACCTTCTGTAGTACGAGTACCATTGCCATCCTTCGTCGTTGGGAAGGGGGGATGCAGGAGGGTCGGCGGCTAGTGGGCCCGAGAGAGGAAATGAACTAATCGAGTAGGAGCCACCCTTGACCCTGAAGATAAGCTCAATGGGGGGGTAAGAAGAGAGATGTGTTTTTGGGTGGAGTGGAGAGAAGAAAAGAATAAAAAACACAATAATAGGTGTAGTCTAGATTTATTGATGATCTACAAAATTATCTCCTTCAATAATCTGAAAAGGGTATTGGGACAACCATATTACCAATCTGTTGTGGAGTAGTAACTGGATCCACTAGAGATGCTCTTATCAATTACTTCCTCCGTCTAAGAAAGAAAGCAAGTACGGGTTGCGTGCTGGCAAAAGTAGTTCACGTTTGACCAAATTTCTAGTGAATACTATTTTCATTTATGACTCTAAATTAATATATTATGAAAAAATATATTTTATAATGAATCTAATGATATTTATTTAATATTGATAAATATTAATGCATTTTAATCTTTAATTAGTCAAATTTAAGATAAAAAAATATAATACTATGCTAGAATTGCATTCCTCATGGATAGAGGGAGTATTCGGTCAGGCCATCCACGTAGTCGTGCACCGAGCGGCGGAGCATATCCCAATACCAAGAGGGGCCTGGATTGCTCATTCCAACGTGAAACCATCGTGACATATTATAGATATATAGAATTTAACTTGCTACACATCTTGGGGGGCCATTAAACTTCTGTCAACCAAGTTGGTAGTTTGGCCTCCACTATCCTCCGTCCCAGTGTGCACCCAAAGCCACATGCACAAACTATGTGTAATTGGTTTGAGTATTGGTTCAACAAGTGTATCCCGAGCCCATCTGATTTCGATGGCCTTAGGTCAGATAGTGTTTTCAATCAGGTTTATTAGGCAACGGCCACCAACCAAACAGCCGATCGAAACTATTCTATGGTACTATCTGGATGATTCTCGGATGCTTGACATATTTTTTTTTTTTCAATTTTGAGGATGACTCTTGAGCTCTTGCTTTACTTTTGGCAGATACACATGATGCTTGAAAGTTTACCGTGTGACGACGGTGGTGGGATGCACATGAGTCATGTATAATTTCACATAAATAAAATTATTTGCTAAGGCGCCCCGTGTTTCAAGGTTTATTATTTAATGTTCAATTAGATATTAATCAAGGGATGTCTTTTCATGCCTCTCTCTAACCGTCCACATGAGCTCTCTCTCTCTATATATATTGTTCATTGGGAATACGACGGAGAACCATTTGCATCAATCGCACTCCCTCGTTCTCTATTTTCTAACAACTTTATCCTATACGCGACTTATCAAGAACACGGGGCGTACATCCCGGGGAGGAAAAAAAAAAGAAGAAAAAGAAAAGAAACGACGTGCTCTGATGCTTGGCTTGTCCTCTCCTGATTCCTGAAAGCGATCGACCCACAGGAAAGTAACGGACGATGGGCACATGGAAGCTTATCCAGCGGTCAGTCAAGCACACTGCTGCAAAGCATATCCCGAGATCTTGACCAGCGACAATGTAAATGGCGAAATTGACAACGTATACTCCTTCAGTCTCAAAGAAGAAAAACATTATGGGATGCGTTAACAGTCTGGAAAAGTCAGAATGACTTTTATTTTAAGACATAGGATACTTAGAAGGTGTAACAGGTTTATGAATTGCATTGTATGCACAGTGCTCAGTGCAATTGACAACCAGAGCAGAGCTTTCAATGTACAGGCCACCCTCCGCGATTTCCATGAAACTCACCTGACGACGTCACGTGGTCGGGGGTCCTATCCAGAACATGTACTACGCCGCCTATAGACAAGTCTGTGAGCAGCTGGGGTGGGCGCAGCGGCTTTGCTACACCTACACTAGCCAATCGACACGTCAGTCTTAACGACATTTCATATGGTCCATCTTACACTACTCCTATATAAAAACTCCTGGATCGGCCATATATATATATTCATGTTCGAACGGGCGAGACTAGCTTGTCTTATAGTCATTCCACTGCTCGAGTCAAACAGAGTTTCCACGTACACTCAAGCACGTACTCCGCAAGCTCTCTGGTATACCTGGCTGCCGAATTCAGGCTTGAGCACACACTGCCACTGCTGGACTGCCCATGGCGGACAACAACAACCGGGGGCAGACCTTGATCGCCGGCGCGGGCCTCGGCGTGCTCACCGTCAACTCGGGCCTCGCCATCTACCGCGCCAGGGGCGACGTGGCGTCCGCCCTCTTCGTCGCGGCCTCTTACCTGCTCCTGCTGCTCCTCTTCGCCTGCCTCCGCGCGTACGAGCGCGCGGCGCCAGGGTCCCCCGCCTGGGAGCGGGCCAGGCGCACCGCGTGGCCCGTCACCGCGCTGCTCACCCTGGCCTTTGCGTGGAAGGTGGCCGCGGTCATGCCGTCGCATGTCGCGGCCGGCGTCGTCTGGGGTCTGGCCGTCGCCACCACCGCCGGTGGCTTCTTCGCGCTCTTCCTGCAGGCCTGAAGAGTGAAGACATGGGTGGTTCGTCAGGGCCAGGCTGCCAGCGGGAGGAATTCTTCTTCTGTGCTGTACATAGTGTTCATATGTGTGTGCAGTGTGCCTACCGAGTACCTCTGCCTGCTCGACCCGTGTAGTAAGGTATGGAGTACGTACCCCAGTGGCAGTGCTAGCTAGCTTATATGTGTATATAGCTGATGACTTTTGTAATACAAAGTGGCTTATGTGGCAGCCAGGTGGCCGTAGCCGCGCCTAGAGACAGCTCTTACGGTGTAAAAAGAGCTAGGTTATAGTGAACAGGGCCTAAGAAAGAATAAGAAGTTAACTCTTTATTAGAAGCTAAGCTTACATACTTTTCTATGATTTATATGTCTATGTTTACATGTTTTTTAGACTAATATATGGGTTTACTCTGTTTCTTTCTCTTTTTTCAAAGTTCATATGTTAACAAGTTGACTTTACAGTTTAGAGTGTCCAAAGGTCGACAAACGTTGCAACAAAACTCTGCAACTTTGATGTGGACCACAATTGAATAGACCTCAAAGTGACCGTGGACTTTTGCTAGTACGTAGTATTGGTGTTTGGAATGAATCAAAGCAGAGGTTGATTTGTGGATTTTGCTGGTTACGGGCGGCTTCCGTCGTTAGGAGCTCTTTTGTTGCAAATTGTCCAAGTCTCATAAGACTAGAGCCGTTTTGTGTAGCTTGGGAACTTGTTCTTGGGGCCGGTGTTTGTTTTGATAAGCCATGGCTTACTCGCTGTAATGTGTTTTATTTTAACCTTTTAATGAAATACGTGACGTGCCAAGGCACAGTTGTAAAAAAAATCTATATCGCTCTAAAGTTTTCCTTTTTTCATGTTCTCCCCTCAACGCTACTTAGGCATCCGACATTTGAAGTGTTGCCTTCGCACTTTTGTTTCTTTGCAAGGGGTCATTTGTCGTAACTCCAAGCAATACCATTAAGGCCTACTTTGGCAGCCCAAATTCCCGGCGGGATCCCGGCCTTTTCCCTGGGCTAATCTGCCCCGTGCCATTCTTACCCGGGCCAAATTTGTGCGCCCTTTGGCAGCCCACCAAGGCGCGGATCGCAGCCCACTTCCCAGCGTTTTCCGCGAGGAAGAAATCCACTACTCGTTAGGCCGGGAGGGTTTCCCCGTGCGACTTGCGAGCCACCGCAGCATCCAGCCGCCCAGTCGCGAGGCCGCGAGGGTTCCCTGACCCTGTCGTCGACTCGTTCGCTTTCGCTCGCGCAGTTTGCGAGTCGCGAGGCCTCCGCCGCCGCCACCCCAGCATCTCGTGGTCGGCGCATACCCGGTGGCCGGCGACTAGCGGCGCATCTCTCCCTACGGCCGGCGACGCATCTCCCAGCGCTCGGCGGTGACGTTCCTCCTGAAATTCACGGCTCCACGTCGATCTCTAGAAATCACATTGGCGGCTGTCTCACCCACACCGCCGCCTCCTCGCTCCTCCACCGCCGTCGCTATCGCCATCCGTCTCTGCAGGTCGGTCCTCCTCCACCTGCATCTCCTTCCCCAACCGTAGTTTCTCGATACGCTAGAGTTTGACCCAGATTTCCATTGTTTCTTGTAGATCTTGGAGGTACCGGTCCGTGAGCCAAGACACTGCTTCTGCTCCCATTGTCCCGTCCGGCAGCAACACGATGCCGCGGAGATACAGGTTAGTTCTCCGCCTGCTACTGATTCGTTGCATTCTGTTTCAGTGGTCGGTCATGGATTCATGGTGGTTTGATGTGCTGCTGTAGGTTTCTGTGTTGTAGCTTCATGTGCAGTGTAGGAGATGGTCAATTTGTTTGTAGATGTAGTACTGTCTTGTTATGCAATCAGTGTTGGATCTGAAGCCTCTCAAGAGGCAGCTTGAAGAGTGTGAGATGATTTGACTTGAAGAGTGTGAGATGATTTGACTTGGTTATGAGCAGGGCGAATGCTTTTTTAGCTTAGCTGTGCTATTCTCTGAATATTGTAGTCTTGGTTTGTTCAGCTGGTGTGCTAGCCTGCTAGATGGTGACTAGAGGTAGATTTCAGATTTTACTTTTTGATCGGAGGTGACTAACTGACAGAGTACGACTTGGCTTAATACAATGCTCGCTTCAATAAGAGTACACACGTCAATCTCCACTCTGAATTGAGTGAATTTCCACTGCCTTAATCATCAGTTCTTGATGATTTTGTTGACATGTATCAGATTATCTTTACCTTTCGAAACCAGAGTTCAAGCTCTGCCATATTATTGGGCCACGTCACTTGCTAGTCTGCTAAACGTCAGATCAGCTCTCCGTGCAAGATTAACCGTCTGATACATACAGATTAGTTCGAACCTGTCACACAGACGTCTCGCGAATCATCACGAACTCGGGCTACTCGACAGGCCGAGGTCCTCATCCCCCACCTCCGCATGTCGCGCCGCCTACGTCCTGCCAGGAGCAGAGGAACACCAACGTTCCTCCCCCACACGTCTTCGCCGGCCAGCAACCCAGGTCTCGCAAATTCTCGGTCGTCCGTTCACGTGCTAACGCTCGGATTTCATCTGTTGCTTCTGAGCGGGGTGGCGAGGATTGAGCCGCCGCCACCCCCGCACCCCCGCTCAAGCCGCCGTCGCTGCCATGCGTGTTGGCGCTCCGCTGGAGCTGCCGTACGCCGCCCCCATGCGCGCCCGCCCGTCCACCTTCGCAGCGCCGTGACGCGGAGCTGCCAGTGCCAAGGGTGCGATGCCTCGGTGGTGATCGACGCCACACGCGACCATGGCGGCTACTAGCTGGGCGGCGGCGACCGACGGCGAGGATGGGGGCGGATACCCTCTGGTGCAAGCAGCGAGGCGAGCGGCATGTTGGAATTAGTGGGAGAAACCACCTAGGCATTGGGTACACCGTACACAAATGCAGAATCATCCCACGCTTGCAGCATGTTCTTGTCTTCAAGACGTCCATTGAACTTGGATTAGCCAGCTGAGTGCTTGGGTGGAAATTTAAAGGGACGTCCACCAACTTCTCGACGAAATGCTAAGGCGTCTGGTCCATGGACTGTGGCTATGGAAGAGACTGACATTCCATCAGCAAGGTTTGGTTTTATCCTGTTCGTTCAGTCTCTCGACAGCTCCGTCAGTCCTTGTTATGCTGCTCTGTTTCTTTGTTCTGCTATTAGAGTTCAATTATTTCTGCATTTTGTGACGAGATCCTGTTTGGGGTAAAGAAATCTGCTATCGTACAGTTGATCTCAGTGTAGAATAGTGTCATAGTGATCAGTCCCATACAGTTGTCCTCTGCTCGTTATTCAGGTAGTAGTAACTTATTTTATATTTTTATTTCTACTATATCTGACACATTGCTTTCTTGTTGTCTGCTATGGCATTCCAGTTTTTCTTTTTCTTTTTAAGTCTCCATTCAGTTTTTCATAATAGTGATTCAGTTTTTTTAACTTGTTGGCCATCAGGGTTGCTGTATAGCCTTAATAACAAGTGAATTACGAAAACAAAAATGCATATTTATTTACCCCTCGTTAGTTATTGAATAGATATTTAACTTAATCTAGAAAGACAAGTATACAACTTGCTACCTGCAGTACTCATTTGGTTTGGTCCTCATTGATTATTTTGGTTGATGTATTTGGATGAAGACAAGTAGCATTGAGCATGAAGCTAGTTGTGTATTTCATTTATCTTAGTCTGACCTGATAGATAGCCATAGACATCATGAGAACAATCTCCTTTTACCTATATGTATTTTGGCCATATACAAGTGCAGTTTCCAGAGCCAGACGTGTCATGAGAGATCACCATTTTCATTAATTTTGTGTTACTGCAGATGTCTTAGTGGAAGCAGTGCATGATTTGAAATAAGTCTGGTAACTTTGGATAGTACTTGGCTAGATGCCAGAAGACATTGGATGTAAGGATGGTCAATTTAGAGATGATTGTAGTATATGATTATGACTTCCCCATTTTCTATTGGATGTAAGGATGTAGAACAATCTGTATGAATGCTACTAGTAGTTGGTCAGATGTCAGATAATACTTTTGTGTTTATTAGATTTGGTTTAAGGTCCGAGATATGTCTGTATTTGTATGGTGAGAGACTTGTACCTGAGATTTTTCATGATTTTGTGGCTCTGACATTGATATGTAGTGACTATTTATATTATTCACCTCTTTTTATTTTTCTTGATTTTTGGTGATTTTCCTGATTTTTTAAGACATGGTTTATCAATTATTTGTACTGAAGTTGTCCAAAATAGCTGAAAAAGGAAAAAGCGCGGTTCTCTTCCCCGGAAAAAGTCTGCCAAACAACGGCAGGGCAGCTTCCCCGTACGTGGATGTCTTCCCAGAGGTGACGAGGGGAATGGACGATCCAAAAAAAATTCTCCCTCGGGGCTACAGTCCCTGGCTTTATTTCCCCGTACTGCCAAAGTTGCCCTAATCGTTGATTCATTGTTGCACTATTTCACCGTAGCAATACTGTAGCACAGAGCCCGTGGAGGTTGCATTGTGGTTCAGTCGGCTCCTCTTTTTGTCAGTTTATTTTTCGCCTTGAAAACGATAACGGGTCCATGCTACAGTGCAAACAGTGCTATTATAATATTTTTTCGAGGGGCAGTCGGGCAGAACGCTAAGGAGCTATACGGAACAAGGACTAATTAAGGTCTCCATTCTCACATTCAGCAGCTACCTATTTAGCCCATTCATCGCTGAAATTAAGCTTAAGTTGATGCTAATGCTGATTTATTGTGAGAGGAAAAAAATACTCAGCCTGTTCGGTTGGTTGGTTCGTTTCGTTGCTGGTTCGTGAAGAAGTACAGCTGGCTGGTTTGTGTGAGAGGAAAAAACTGTTCCGGCTGAAAATTTACGATCGTTTACGACAAGCCACAGCCAAACGAACAGGCCGGCTATTCGTTCACTGAAAAGTACTGTTGAAGACCCCCAAATACACCTATTTTCTCGGATGGAACAATTCTCTCTTGCATGAACAATTTTCTTCGTACGTTTCATCGAGAAA